AACTAGACAAGGTGGTAGCGATAAGCAGAATTCACTTCCTCCCCTCATTCCAGGTCTTTGAATCCCCATTTATCCAACCCACATGTGAATACGAGTAAAAGGAAAGAACTTTGGCCTATCTAGTGCCAGTGTTTGTCTCACGCAGAGGTGCTGGGAGTACTCCTGCCACTGGTGGGCGACCACCAGAGGCCTGAGTTCACAGCCTAGCATTCAGGAGAGACAGGAAAAGGAATCAAGACAGCATAACTGACTACCTAGGACTCAGCGAGTGCCTGCGCCTGGCTCTAGCACGGCAGTCAAGGGGGAGCAGATAAATCCGAGGTTGTTTTTTTTTTTTTTTTTACAATTACAAAATGTTAGCTTTATATTATATTAAATAATATATATTTAAAATCACTATTTGATCAAAATTTCAATTTTTTTGTTTTGTTTTTTTGGGTTTTTTGTTTTGTTTTGTTTTTTTAGATTTTTGCCATAGGGAGCATGCACTCACTGGAAATAGAGAAAGACAGAGCAAGGAAAAGTAAAAATGTAAAAAATCATGCCCCAGAGGGATGGCCATGTTACAACTCCTTGTCCTCTATTCTCCCCTTAAAATTTTGGGCATGCACGCACACTCATCCAGTATGATTTTCAAGCTGTTGGGCCTGGGACTCAAACCATGGCCAAACATGTAGGAGTACAGCACCTCAACCACCAGGCCACTACTTCAAATGTATTTTAATAAAGTATTTATGACTTCCAAAAAGTTGAATTCCTCATCCTGCAGAAGACAGTGTTCTTTACTGGGCGTTTTCTTTTTCCCAGCCTGGCTTACCAATCTGCCAGGAGTATCATGACTAGAAAGTGATAATGTAGAATTGCTTTCAAGTGATTGGTTTGGTTACTGGAAACTCTTCAGTGGAGGTTGGCCATAGCTGGGTTTCTGACTGTCACTTAATTACTGATCTGACAACTAGACAAGGTGGTAGCGATAAGCAGAATTCACTTCCTCCCCTCATTCCAGGTCTTTGAATCCCCATTTATCCAACCCACATGTGAATACGAGTAAAAGGAAAGAACTTTGGCCAGTGCCAGTGTTTGTCTCACGCAGAGGTGCTGGGAGTACTCCTGCCACTGGTGGGCGACCACCAGAGGCCTGAGTTCACAGCCTAGCATTCAGGAGAGACAGGAAAAGGAATCAAGACAGCATAACTGACTACCTAGGACTCAGCGAGTGCCTGCGCCTGGCTCTAGCACGGCAGTCAAGGGGGAGCAGATAAATCCGAGCTTTATTTCCTACTCACACAGCACCAGGATAATAACACAAACAGGCACCTCCAAGCTTCCTTACGTGAGGTTAAACTCTGCTGCCAGCAGGACTCCCATTTAATGTCCAAAACAAACCAAGAGTCAGGAATCTCTTTTCATAAATACCAAAGGACCGTTCATTTTGTACACACAAAATAGCAAGTCTGCATTACTCAAAGACGTTTCAATTCACTTTCGTATGATTAACTGGGCTCCACCAAATAGGAGGTGCTGCAGAGACTCAACCCAACACTGGGAAGAAGGGAACAAAACAAGGAGTCTTCAATTGAGCTCAAAAGAAGAAAGAAACCACTTTCTGTGGGTTACGGACACATAAGTACAAACATTAAGTCAGTCACAGCAGAGATGCCTGACTTTAGTCTGGAGTCAGCTTCTCAGGGCTGGAGTTCCAGCTCCACCAGTTTCTGCATGTGTGACCTTGGCAAGTGGTTTCACTTCCCTAAGCCTCAGTTTTCTACCGAGTGGGAGGAAAATGAATAGCAAAGTACTCATCTCATAGGATTTTCCTTTACAGGAATTAAATGAGATCATCGATGAGAAGCACCTTAAACAGCTCCTGGTACATTGTACAATAGCAGGTCTCGCTGTCATTCCAACCGCTGCTGGAAGCCACCTGCGCTGGGGCTTCAAGTGGAAAGGATGTCCCTGGACAGTGGTTTCTAGGGGGTGATCAGCATTTGAGTTAGCGAAGGCCCTGAGCCTGGAGAACACAGCTTTTTTGGGAGTCAAGCTCCCCATTGTCCTCAAAACTGAATTCTCCTGCCATCTAGTGCCCAATGACTGCTAACGCCTAAATATCAATTGCAAGGCCCTATTCCTTTGTCCCCACCCACCCACCTGCTCCTCTTCTGCTCCGAGCTGGGACTCAGCGGAACCTCTGGGCTTCCCCAAATCTTCAAGTTCTTTGATATGCTTTTTTGTCCACAGCAGCCCTCATGCCTGGCATGGCATTTTCTCCACCCTCTTGTGCGCTAAGCAAAGGCCTGCTCCTCTCAGTTCAGTTCAAGAACTCAATTCAAGCCTCACTTTGTCTAAGCTGGCTCACTTCCTTCTTGCCAGACGGGGCCACCTCCAGTGACACATCCCTTCCAACATTGCTATGTGTGTCCCCTCTCCTTACTACAGTGCTCAGTGTGTAGCAGGTGCCCAATATGTGTTAGATAAATGAAGTCATAGGACAGTAAACTTGGCAGTGAGAGGGTGGGGCATTCCCGATAAAATTGCTCCGAGAGTACAGAAACAACTGCTTGTCACTGGCATATAAATGCTTCATTATTGACTGAGTATCTGTAGCCTGTGTATTGCCTTTGTGGTTAATTTTTTATTAGAAATAAATGTGTAAATATACATTAATCCTGTGCTACAACAATTCCATTTCCAGAGAACAGAAAATCTGTTTACAGAAGATTTACTTTAGGCCAGCAGGTGGTGTGGTGCTTAAGGTGCTGGACTTCACATGGCTGACCATGGTTCAAGTACCAGACCTAGCAGCTTATAAAAATCATGCTGGGCTCTGTACCTATGTGCCCAAAATCCCAGGAAGAGAATGGAGGAGAAGGGATTGCATCGTGGCCATCCACTGGATGGGGGGGTGTGGGGTGATTTCTCACTTTCCCTCTCACTATCTCTCTGGTGAGTGCAGAAAGAAACCTTAAAAAAAAATTTTTTAAAGATTTGCTCAAGGATGGGAACCAGCAGTTAGCGTAATGGCTATGTCGCTGGACTCCCACGTAGTCAACCGCGGTTCGTGTCCCGGACCCGGTGGCTTAAAAAACTCACGCCGGGCGCGTGTGTGTGCGTGCCCAAGATCCCGAGAGGAGAATGGAGGAGAAGGGATTGCGGCGTGACCATCCCCCCTGGGGGGTGATTTCTCGCTTTCTGTCTCTATGTCTCTCTCTGTCTGTCTGGCGAGCGCACGCGCCCTACAATGAAAATCTCTCCAAAAAAAAAAAAAGATTTGCTCAAGGATATTCATAATCACTGCTTTATTCATAATTGCTGCTAACTAGAAAAGACCCAAATGCCCATAAACAAGGCATATATAAAAGAGTGTGGTGGGACCAGCAGATGGTATAATGCTCACGTCGCTGGACTCCCAGACAGTTAACTGCAGTTCAAGTCCCAGACCCAGCAGCTTAAAACTCACGCCAGGCACATGAAAGTGCATGCTCAAAATCCCAAGAGGAGAATTGAAGAGTAGGGATTGTTGGGCCCAGCAGTTGGCGTAATGGCTATGTCGCTGGACTCCAATGTAGTTGACCACAGTTCGAGTCCCAGACCCAGTGGCTTAAACTCATGCTGGGCGCATGTGCGTGCGTGTCCAAGATCCCAAGAGGAGAATGGAGGAGAAGGGATTGCGGTATGGCCATCCCCCTGGAGGGTGATTTCTTGCTTTCAGTCTCTCTGTCTCTCTCTGTCTTTCTGGCGAGCACACGTGCCCTATAGCAAAAAAAAAAAAAAAAAAAAACCTCTCCAAAACAAGGGGAAATAAAAAGAGAGAGAGAAGGGATTGACGCATGGCCATCCCCCCTGAGAGGGTAAGGTCTTGCTGTGTCTCTCTGGTGAGCACACACATCCTACAGCAAAAAAAATCTCTCCAAAAATAAATTGTTTTTTAAAAAGTATTTATGAGACCAGCAGATGGCATGATGGTTACATCGCTAGATTCCCACACAGTTGATCATGGTTCGAATCCTGGACCCAGCAGTTTAAAACTCACACCGGGCACATGTGCATGTGTGCCCAAAATCCTGAGAAGAGAATGGAGGAGAAGTAATTGCAGTCATCCCCCTTAGGGGGTGATTTCTTGCTTTCTATCCCTCTGTCTCTACGGGGAATACATGCTCCCTATAGCAAAAATCTCTCTCAAAAAAAAAAAAAAAGTATGGTATGTCCATTTAATGGGCTATTACTCAGTAACTAAAACAAGCCAACACAGCTCAATTTCAACAGCGTTATGCTAAATGAAAGAAGTCAAACACAAAAAGAGTACATACCAAATAACCACATATATATGAACTAGGAAAGGGAAAATATAATCTATAGTGACTGGAAGCAGATCAAAGTGGGAGGATAGGTGGAGATTGGGAAAGGGCAAGTTGTACAGCTAAGAACGTAACGTTTTTCAGTATATTAATTATATTCAATAGATGAAATATTTTTAGGAATGAGAAAGTAGAGACAGAGAGAGGGAGCAAGGGAGAAGAGGTGGAAGAAAGGCAGGCAGACCCTCCTCCCGCAGCTCTCACCAGGACAGGTACCCTGCAGCTCTCGGCCAGAGATTGCCAGGCGCGTGTGGAGGACGACGCCCCCAGGCGGCTAGAGCGCAGCGGGCGCGCGGCGGCCCAGCGTGCAGTTGCTCCTCTCCGACGCCAGGTGGCGGCGCGGGCCCGGGAGGGGCGGACGCGGAGAGCTGGCGGCTGCGGGAGCTGCAGCAGCTCCGAGTCCAGGAAGCGGTGGACTCCATGGTGAAGAGTCTGGAGCGAGAGAACATCCGGAAGATGCAGGTAGCGGGGCAGGAGTCGAGCCGGAATCCTCTTCCCGACGGCCGGATCCCGGGTGCGGCCCTCTCCCCGCAGAGCCGGCTGGACGTCCCTGGGGTCGCCGCGGCGCCCTCAGCACGCCCCGCTGTCCTAGGGAACTTACGGAGCTGCGGCGGATCTGGCGGAGTCCGGGGCCTTCGCCGCGCGCAAGGCCGTTTTCCAGCCGCCCAGCAGCGGGTGGCGAGGGCAGGTGTCCACGGGCCGGTGTTAGCAAGCCGCTAGGGTGAGGCGACGTCCTCGCCGCCTCCTGCTCCTGCGCGGCCTGTCGCAGGTGAGCGGGCCGAGGCCCCGAGAGCGCACGGCCAAGGTGAAGGCGAAGGCTCCTGGCCGCCCCATGACCGAAGCCCAGTTCTGTTCCACCCAGCGCCGCCTCCGAACGCGCGGGTTTCCATGCTGTTCTGCGCTGACCCCCAATTGTGTGGACGTTGGGCCTGCCTCCCTATCTGGACTGTGCGTTGTGTTGTACGGACCCTGGAGTCACTCGCTGATCAGTGGGTCGGTTGACCTCTGGTGGAGTGTTCATAGCAGGGTCGCTGACCTTTGAACCCTGTGGTATAGACATCTGCTTTTGAGAACATGGCTTCCTCTGGCCTCTCCCGCCCCACCCCCGCCATCCGTGCGGCAAGTGCCCAGGAGCCGGCAGTGAGACCATGAAACACCACGAGATGCGGAGGACAGTTTCCCCAGACATAGTTTTAAAGTCCCGGTGTTTAAGGGAAGGAGAAAGCATAGATGGAGAGAGAAGGAAGTGCAAATAGGGACGTGGCCTCCTAACCCCTCTAGCACGCTGTGGCCACCTCTGTCCCCAAAGGCTTCCCAACCTAACCCGGCTCTGCCCTCTTTCCGCAGGGGCTCATGTTCCGGTGCAGCGCGGGCTGTTGTGAGGACAACCAGGCGTCCATGCAGCAGGTTCACCAATGCATCGAGCGCTGCCATGCACCTCTGGCCCAAGCCCAGGCCTTGGTGACCAACGAGCTGGAGAAGTTCCAGGTGAGGAATGTCTCCAACAGAGGACACTAGTCCTTAATGTGCTTTTTTTATAGAAGATGACAGACATTTGTTCAAAACTCTTGGCTTTGTGTCTCAATTCTGTTAACATTTATAGCAGTCTTGTGTCCAGCCATTCTTCCCAGGGTTTGAACTTTTGGGAAAAGTGCATAGAAAGGCCAGCAGGTGGCGGTAAAGGTGCTGGATCCCACATGGCTGACAGAGCTGTTTAAGATCCAGACACTCCACTTGAAAAAAACACCAGGCATATGTACATGTGCCCAAAATCCCAAGAGACTGGAGGAGAAGGGATTGCAGGGTAGCCATCCCTCCTGGGGTGGGCTGAGGGTCATGATTTCTCACTTTCTTTCTACCTCTCTTCAGTGAGTACACATGACCAACCAAAAAAGAAAAGTTTTAAAAGTCGAGTGCTGTGAGTTGAACCGATGTTCCCATAGAAACAATAATTTAAAAGGGAGTTGCCAGAGAAATTCATGGCCAAAAGTTATTATGTTTTTTGTTTTGTTTGTTTTTGCTACAAGCACCAAATGTAATCTGTGTGCTATGTGACACTCCCTAAAATATATATATTAACTCGGGACCGGCTGGTGGCATGGTGGTTAAGGCTCTGGACACTCCTACATGGCCGACCATGGTTCGAGTCCTGGACCATGGTGGATTGCTTTCTCACTTCCTTTCTCTCTCTCTCTCTCTCTGTCTCTCTCTCCAGTCAAGTTAAAATAAAATTAAATAAATAATTCATATATATATATATATATATATTCATGTTTTAAAAAGCAGAATCTCTTAATTAAGTGAAACAGAATAGTCTTTAAAAGGTACATATTGGGCCAGCTCTGTGGCTTGGTGGTTAATGCAGCCAGATCCCATATGGCCAACCCCACAGACCTTGCAGTTTGGAAAACACACCAGGCATGTGTGCATGCTGCCCAAAATCCTAACAAGAAGGCGAAATGGAGGAAAAGGTGATTGCAGCTTGACCACTCCCTGTAGTGCGTGCCTTCTCCCTCTCCTCCTCTCTGGCAAGTGTGCATACCCTCTAGCAAAGATTTTTAAAAAGAAAAGAAAAAGGGAAAGTGCATATTAGGGGCTGGCAGGTGGTATGGTGGCTAGGGTGCTGGACTCAAACATGGCACACCACAGTTTGAATCCTAGACCTGGTGGCTTGCTTTCTCACTTTTCCTCTCTTTCTCTCTCTCTCTCTCTCTCTCTGGTCAAATTTAATAATAATAATTATTATTATTATTATAAGTAAATAAAATTAAATAAATAATTTTTTTTTAAGCAAGACTACATACTTACCCAAGACTGCCCCTATATCTACACCCAGAGGGCAGCCCAACTCACCTCTGTGTCACTAAGGAGCTCTGTCTTTATTTGAACCATTGTTACTGTTGGCTAACTGATGACAAACCCCTCTGGGATTTCTAAAAGAGCTCCCTTTTTCCGTCACTGGAATAAAAGAAATAAATCTGCAACTTTGTTTTATCCCCTTCTTCTATATCTGTTTTTCTGGAGCTGGGGAAAGGAGGGCCCACTTCTGAACCAGTTTTTCATAGCCTGAGAATCCATTCTTATGGAAAGATTTCCTAATGTGATACATACTGACATCCTGGTATACAAAACTCTTCAAAAACACCACCATTCCAGAGGAATAACTTTACCAAGGTCATAGAACACCAAAAGATGGTTTCGTATTTATATTGACAGCTAGTTTTCTAAACCGGGGGTGGGAAGGGGTGTCTGAAAAATTGATTCCTAGATTGCTATATAACTCTTTCCTTTCATTCTCTTCTCAGTCCTCTCCAAGTAAACTAACTCTTCCACTGCTCTTGCTACTCACCTCCTGGGGCTAAGTCCAGTAGCCATTTCTCAGTTTTCATCTTTTATTTATTTATCTATTTATTTTCATTTGTCCGAGGTAGCATACATTTATCAGAAAGAAAGAGAGGAAGAAAGAGAAGGCACCCCCAATAGGGTATAGACACGCTACAGCATGCACACACACAAACCCAGGTTTGAAGCCACCAGGTCTGGGATTTGAACAACACAGTCAACCATGTGGGATCTGGCTCCCCCAACCACTAGGCTACAGGCAGCCTCTCAGTCCTCATCTTACTTGACCTGTCTGTATCATTGACACAGTGAATCATTCCTTTCCTCCTTAAAGCACTTCATTCAGTTGACCACTCAGCCACTTTACTCTCCTGGTTTCCACTCCCTCCCTGGCTATATTTTCTGGGCCTCCATTACTGGTGCAACCTTCTGATTCAGTCAAGACAGTCTTTGTCGATCAGCCTATAGTACAGTGTCTGGCACCTGATGAGCAATTGGTAACTGGAGGCCAGCCTCTCAGCTTCCTTACCCTCTTTTTCCTTGCCACAGGACCGCCTGGCTCGGTGCACCATGCATTGCAATGACAAAGCCAAAGATTCCATAGACGCAGGGAGCAAAGAGCCTCAGGTGAAGCGGCAGCTGGACAGTTGCGTGTCCAGGTGTGTGGATGACCACATGCACCTGATCCCGACTATGACCAGGAAGATGAAGGAATCACTCTCGTCTATGGGGAAATAAAAGTCCTTACCAGTGACCTTTGGGGCTGAGGGCAGGAATCTATTTTAAAAGAGCAATGGGAATTTTAGTCTTTTAAGCAAAGTTTATGAAGAAATTAAGGTTGGCAACAAGTTTAAAGTGTATGTCACTTGCCTGTGAACACTGGGGTTTTTTTTTAATCTTTTAATCCTAGAGAATGAAATGGAAAAAACTGGTGCTAAAATTTGGGTCAGAGAGAGCACAAAAGAGTGTGTCAGAACCTGAGTTCAGGTGACAATAGGACTTTCCCTTGTACCAAGTGAGAGCCCTCCAAGGGGCTAGATTCTTCCTGCACAGGTACCGACATACAGGTACTAGCTGGCTTCTCTCACCTGCCTGTGACCTGGTACAGTTTGAGGAGATGTTTCTCTTTGTTGCCAACCTGTTTGCCAGTAGTAAGCACCATTTTTGTAGGTTGTAAAACAATTCACAAAGACACTAATCTAGAAGGGGAAAAGGTTTCTGGGTCTTTGTTTTGCTTGGTTTTATTTTATATACAAGGGCTTAGTTGATGTAAATGAAGAGTTGGGAGGGAGAGTAGTTTGGATAACAGCTTGAAACAGTTCTTTGTGGACATCCTTTACTGGCCATCAAATGTGGATGTGTGTTTCTTCAGATTCTTACACAGCATGTTTTTTACCCTGGAGACCAGTTGAAAACAGAGAAGTAACAGCACATTGAGTGTGGAAGGCAGAGGGTCCCTCTTACTGACTGGCCCTGAAGCCGTCTACACAGAATGACAAGACAGTCTTACAGTAACAGTTTCCCCTTGATAGGAAAGAGGATTGTTATTGTGATATATACTGGTATCCAAGAGTGAACAGTAAAAGAGGAACAATTGATTACTTAAGAGAGTTGGAAAGTACTAGATGTGGAACACCTGGTTTTTCTAGAACAGAATGGAAGAAAACCTAAATCTAGCATGGCTTACTTAGCCCCCTAAGTTCCCAGAGTCCTACTGAGACAGTCCTCTGGCCACAAAGTCAAGGTGGAGACAAAGAAAGCAACTTGGCTAGGATGAGCTGGGAATCCTTTGGGGCAAAGGAGGGGCAGCCTCCCATTACCAAATACCCATTTTGGCCTTGGGCCTTTGCAACATGCAGTGTTCCTGCCCAGTGTGGCACCTTGTCCTTTTGATAAGGACCTTGTTGTCTTTTTGTCAGATTATTACTTGAAATGATAATATATAGCCTGTCCGTTTGCTGTTTCAAGACTGTGATATATTTTCCTAGTGGTTTGGTTTTTTAAAAATAAAGTTTAATTCCCCCCCTCCACTATGATGTTTCTTTCAATGTGGCAATGAATAAGTAACTTTCTTAGTATGCTTCTGGTAACATGTGAGATAAAGTTCTTAAAATGTTCAGAAGAGTGAAAATTAGTTATTAGGGTTCTGATGCAGGACTGGTTCATTGTATATAATAGAAAATGATTGAAAAGGTACACAGCTATCACCATCATCTAAGATCCTGACTACCAGAGGTGTACAAAGTGTATACGAGTCTTGGGACCAACAGTTGGCGTAATGGCTATGTCGCTGGACTCCCAGGTAGTCAACTGCAGTTGACTGGTGGCTTAAACTTGGACCTAGTGGCTTAAACTCATGCTGGGCATGTTTACATGTGTACCCAAGATCCTGAGAGGAGAATGGAGGAGAAGGGGTTGCAGTGTGGCCATTCCCCCTGAGGGGTGATTTCTGGCTTTCTGGCCACGCTCCCTATAGCAAAAACCTCTGGGAAAAAAGTGTATATGAGCTTAACAAAGCCTACTATCATTTGGTAGGTATTAAAGATGGAGTCATGAGGCCAGCAGGTGCTGTGGTGGATAAGGGCACTGGATTCCCACATGGCCAACCATGGTTCAAGTACTGAACCTGGTGGCTTGTTTTCTCACTTTCCGTTTCTGTCTCTCTCTCTTGTCAAATAAAAAAAAAAATGGAAATAAATAATTCTTTAGGAAAAAAATAAAAGATGGGGCCATTCCTCCTGAAGAGACCCTATTAAAGGTGCCTCCTCCCCCTGGGGCATGCATATGCTCTATTAAAATTTTTAAAATAAGAGTCATGCCTAAACATTGAAGTTTCGCTAATCACCCACCCTCTAAAAAGAATCACCAAGGCTTTTGCTTGGTCTGTCAACCCATAGATTCTACTTGGAGGTAACTGGGAACAAGTCAGAAGCCATTTTTTACACTTAGGTACTTGATGCGGAAAAGTAATAACATTAAAGAAAGTTTATGTGTTATGCCATATGTTTTATGTATGGGGCAGCGGTGCACTAAGTGGGCTTCTAGAGGCAGTGATAACAACTGCACAACAACAATCAGGAATACATTTCAGGGTTCTGGATTAAACTTCTGGGAGACAGGCTCTGTCCTCATCTTGAGGCAGAGGAGCAGCCACTAATTTAGAGGTTCCTGGAAGCCTCGGCCTCGCCCGACAGTGCGCGGTCAGGATACGTGCCAAAGAAATATTATGACCCACTCCAGAGCTGATCCTAATTTGGCATATATGAAGAAAAACGAATCACGGAGATAAGCGAAAGGCCGGTAAAACCGACCAGTTAAGTCTCAAGTTTGCACAAAACGGGATTGAAGAAAGTGCCTAGAGGCTCCGCCTCCCCATCCTGACCAATCGCTGACGACGCGACCGGAAGCTCGAGGTTGGCCAATACGAACAGGGGTCCCGTAAGTATCGCGAGGTAAAATGTGAAAATTGCCAGCAATTGATTGGCTGATAGGATTGGTGACGTCAGACGCAAAACGCCGGAGCTGCCGCGGGAACGTGAAGAGGCCGAGAATTCCGTTCAAAGGCATCCCTGAGCCCGCCGAGTTGGTACCATGAGCAAAGCTCACCCTCCCGAATTGAAAAAGTAAGTATGTGTGAGGGCTGCGCCGAAGTGGCTGCGTCTTGGCGTGCCTGCGTCCCTTAGGTCCTCCTCGCTTTTCCTATCAGTGCGTCTGGCGTGCGTATTCCGAACAGCGTGGGCCGCCTCATTTCTCATTCCGGTTCGAGGCCTCTGGGATTCTAGCCACCGTCCAGGGTTTCAAATCCTGAAACCTGAGCCGACCGGGTGTTTAGGCTTGGTCAATCAGTGCGATTACCAAATAGCCACGGCGCCTGCGTTCCACCCGCGTGCCTACTAGTCCTGAATTCCCCGCCCCGTGTCGCCCCAGGTCCTTGCTCCTTGAGGACCTCGAATGCTGCCGTTTATTAAACATTAGCATCAAGTTCTAGATACGGTGGCTGGAGGAGTAATTCTGTAAGGAACTAAGGAGAGGGCTGGAATGAAACTGATGGTTTTTGAGGAACCAGCTTATTTTAGAAATTCCATTCGTTTCTTTTTTCCTGCTTTGTGTATGTAGACTTGAATGTCGTTTGGTAGCTTGCTCTGTCATTGGAACCGTATTAGAACACTTATTTTCCTAATCAAAGAAGGTTAGCTTTGAGATTTTTTTCTCTGCACCCAGTAAAATGAAACTTTATCTTTATTTTAAATAAATAGGACTCGGTTTAAAACTTTAACCTCAAATATTACTTGACTGAATTTAACATGTTGCAGGTCTTAAGTACTTTCTTATATATATCTAGTGCTGAAATTGTGTTGTAATTGGATTGCACAAAGAGTGCAAAATTAATATAAGGATCAGTTTTTGCTGTAGTGGGATGGTCTTCCTTGGGAATAGTTCATTTATTATCAGCTTCATAAATAAGACATAAGGAAAAGTTCATATTTAGTAATTTTGCATTTAATGTGCATGAGTATCAAAAGCATCTTTCTTACAAAAACTCCATGTAAATTTAAGTTGGGTCTGTTTAATTTTTTAAATTGTTTTATTTAATCTTATTGTTATTATTTTTGTAATTTACTATAGGGCGCTTGTGCTCATCAGAGAGAGAAAAAAACAAGCTGACAGATCCAGGACTTGAACCACAGTCAGCCATGTGGGAGTCCAGTGCCTTAACCAGTATGCCACCTGCTGGCCTCTGGGTCTGTTTAATTATTAAATCATAAATCCAACATTAAGAAAAACATAAATGGGGTTATTTTTTTAATTATTTTATTTAACATTATTTATGTATTTATTTATTTTAATTTGACCAGAGAGGGACAGAGAGAGAGAGAGAGAAGGAGAGAGAGAAAGCAAACCGCAGTCTAGGACTCGAACCATGGTGGGCCATGTAGGAGTCCAGCATCCTTACCACCTACCGGCCCTGAAGAAAAACATTTCTTAAGGTTTTGAGAGGGAAAGTTAGACATCAACCCCCAGGAGAGAATGGCCACACCACAATCCCTTCTCCATTCTCTTCCTGGGATTTTGAGCAGGCACATGTGCACACGTGTCCAGAATGATTCTCAAGCACCCAGATCCAAGATTTGAATTGTTGTCAGCCATTGGGAGCCCAGTGCCTAACCACCACCTGCAACCCCCAAAATTTTGAAGATTATTTTGTAAAATTTAGTAAGCTGAGGAAGTCTTGTAGGTATTTTCTAGATTCATCCAAAATTAATTAATTTATCCAAATAGATGGAGGTTTTTATTTATTTAATTTCTTTCTCTTTTTTTTTTTTTTTTTTTTAAGAATTATTTCACTTTTTTCCCAGAGAGAAACAAGCCACCTGGTCCAGGATTCGAAGCAGTCAACCATATGGGAGTCTGGTGCATTTAACCACCATGCCACCTGCTGGCTCCTCATTATTATTTTTTAATTTGTTGTAGGGCACATGCGCTCACTAGAGAGAGACACAGAAGCAGCGGAAGTGAGAAAGCAAGCCTCCAGGTCTGGAACTCAAACTGCTGTTTGTCATGGTGGGAGTCCAGCACCTCAATCACCACACTGCGTGCTGGCCCAAAATAGTGTGTTTTTTCTGCTTGTAATCTGGAGTTTCCTTCTGGTTTTTTTGTTTTTTTTTTTTTTTTAAGAGATTTTTACTGTAGGATATGTGCACTCACTGGAAAGAAAGAGACAGAAAGTAACAGATCACCCCCCCAGGGCGGATAGCCACACCACAATCTCTTCTCTCCGGATTTTGGGCACTCAAGCACACATGACCGGCTTGAGTTTCAAGCCACCGGATCCAGGATTCAAACCCCAGGCAGCAAAGTGGGCGTCTGG